AAATGAAAATGAAAAGTGCGAAATATGCGTGCATTTATAGGGGCGTGGAGGTGAAGAGACAGAATATGAACGGCCACGTTCGTGCCTAGTAATTGGAATCAAGTGGCCCAAAGTCTTGGGAAAAGAGATAGAAATACCAAGAGAAGATGTACATGAATCTTAGCATAAAGCAGTTAAATGCTTAGGGGATTGACGATTAAGGACAAACGTCAATAAATACACAAGAAGACAAATTAGTCGTTCATTAATGACAATGGCTGCTGTTACATTCAAAATTGGCAATGGCTATCAGTGCGAGGTTACAAAAGGAAAGTTAATACGAAGTTACAAAAAGAAAAGTTAAGGCATTAGATGTCTTAATTACAATTCACCCTAGACCGAACAAATTCTTTCCCTAAGTCTGCCCCAATCCTCGCTCTGCTGAGAAGAAGTGACATTCAATTCAGCTACAAAATCATCATTAACCTCCAGCTTCTTGTACTGCTCAATCAAAGACTTGGTTCGCTCAATTCCTTGGGAAGCATTACGCTTTTTAGCAGCCATTCTCGCCTTGCAGTCATCCATCCTAGCTTGAAACTCCTTCATCTATGCAACCAAACTAGTCATCAAAGAGTCTTCAATCATAACTTCAGAAGAGATTTCTTTCAATTCGTCCTCAGCTTTGTTGATCTTCAGAAGCAAAGACTCTTTTTCAGATGCAGCGCGAAGGTATTAAGTACTCTTGGCCTTCAGTTCACCATTTTTGGCTAGTAAAGAGAGGATGTCAGAGTGGACAACTTTCAATGTCGCTTTAAAATCAGCAGAAATATTGAGCGACGGAAGTGTCAGTTCTTGTGCCAACTTCGCACTCAAATGCTTAAGCTTATCCTTATGTTTGGCAGCACTAGCCTGACCGATGTCCATGTCCATAAAAGATACATACTCAAATATCGACTGCTTGAGGAACTTCATATCTTTCTCTGAAGAAGCAGAAGGATGACCTGTTGAAGTAGTGCGAGACGTCTTGACTTGCCCCCAGGAAGTGAGCAAGTCCTGGATGGAACGCACAATCTCATCAGCATCCTACAAAGAAAAATGCCAACATTGAAGGTTTTCACTACAATAAACAAAATGAAAATAAAAGTGAAGCAAACGATTACCTCATCAGCAATCTTGGGAGGTGGCATATCATCAGTTGGCCCCACCACCTGTGGAGACTTCCCCTTGTTTGGGCGAGAAGACTCTGCCACAACGGGCAGACCCATGGAAGCCTCTGCATGATTAAAGAAGCAACAAATCAGAAACCAATAGCACAAGCAAAGGTAAAATATCAAAAAATGTATTACCTTCTGGTTCGACGTTTGGGGGGTCGGCGCCCTGGGAAGGAGATGGCTTGTCCATTGGTTGTGATGAAGGTTCCGGAACTGAAGGTTTCTCTTTAAGCGTAATCCCTTCATCAGCTGGTTTGGACGAAGCAGCTCCAGCAGAGGATTATGGAGCAGGAGCTGCCAACACCAAAGCCTTCAAAGGAGAGGCCGAACTTTTCTGAGAAATTCAAGAAAACCATTAGCACATTGAAAGGTATGCTTGTGAGTAAACACAATTCAATTACCTTTCTCCTGACGATGAGAGGAGTGTCATCATCATCATCCTCCAAATTGGGAGATGTTGAAATTGGCCGTTTGCGACTTGGGGCACTCTTAGTTGCAATAGGTTTGGTAGATAGAGAAATAGAGGGACGAACATATTGTTTAGCACGAGTAGGGGAGGAAGAATTCCTAATGGACACAAGGGTGACCAAAATAGGAGAAGTGGAAAGAATGTTTAGCTGATCCAGTGAATGGAAAGCACGAATGGCATCAGTTGCAAACAATCTGCGCTTCACTGATGGCTAGAGTGAATCAAAAAGGAGGTGAACGGCACGGCTAGGATTGAAGGGGGCTAATGAAAAGTTACTCTTCAAAAGAATATTGCGAGCATCTATAGCTTGTGCCTCTGCCTTATTAATGTTGTGAAAGCAGTCTATCAAATTTTTTGAATAACAAGGGGGAACAGGCCAAGTTTGGCCAAAACCAAGTTGACGAGCAAAAAATTGGGGAGCATATATTTCAACCCCAGCTTTGGCATTGGTTCCAGTTAAAATATCATGGAACAATTCTCTCCCAATCAAAAACTGAACCCAAACGAGCAAAGAGGCTCTCGCATTGTCCATGGTGGATGGAGGTTGCACATAGTCTGGAGTTAAATGAGCAGGAAAGGGAAAGAAGGAAGGAATTGAATTTAAAGTATAAAAGAATGAAACAATGTCCCTTCTGGACATATTTACAGGGCTCAATCGATCAATGGCTAGCCCATAGCAGCTAGCAGAACGAAGGGACATGGATAGAGCACCAAGTGATGGAAAATAGGCTCTCAACCACAATTGAGTGAACCAAAGAGGCCCAGTGCCAGTGGGAGATGCACCATTTTTCGATTGAAATTGAAGAGAAGCCATGCCTCTATAGAGGGCAGCCAAAAAGAAGGAACACAAATTCAAAGGCCTACCACGCGCCAATTCATATGCTATGGGTAAATAGCTCATAGAAGGCTTCATACTGGGCACACACAGAATATATTTACAAAGCCAAATCTGAAGAAAGGCCACACACTCAGCTTGGGAAGGCTCAGTGTTTGAGTGATTATAACAGCCTTGCAGACTTGAATAGGACTCGGTGAGTTTTTTGTCAAATTTTGGGACAACACCAGAAATCAAAATACCAGGGAAAATGGTGTCGCCCAAAGGTGGAAGATTTATCAGGGCCCCAACATCCCTTAAAGTAATAGACATGGGACCAAGAGAGAAAACAAAAGTATTATATTAAGAAGACTAAGAACTTAAAGCAGTAGGAAAAAGTGCTGGGTCAAAAATTGGGGGTTGAAGAGACATTTCTAATAAATCAGAAATCCTATCACGATAAAAAATTTCCTTGGTAAGATCATGGCTCATAAGGCGAGCATGCCATCTATAGAAAACAACATCAGATTTAAGCCAAGTGCGAATACCTTTTTCGCGAATCGGCCTCAGCGGCAAAGAGTTCAGGAATGGAGGGCCTTGAGTACAAGGGAACAGCTGGCCCACCGCCACTTGTTCGACGGCTTCAACGTTATTGAATGAAGGACCTAGATAGAACTCATTAAGTTCGGCATTGGCTGGTGCAAGGAAGATCGGATTTACATAAGGCCGAGTGAGGATTTTCTGGAAATCTTCGAAGCTAAAAGAGTCGTCAGATTGAGTTCGTAGAGTAGCCATTGGGAACGAAATATAGTTTTGTTAAAGTTTGCTTGAGAAACGTAGCAGAGAAGCAAGAAGATGAACAGTGGTATGACGAGAAAGAAGTGCGAAATAATGAGGTGTGATTTAGTGGTATAACGAAATGACATGTCTTTGGGGTTTATAAGGGTTTGTAGCGTTGCACTTTTTCAGGTTATGGAAGGAAATAATGATTGAAATTCTTGAAAATTTCAAATGTTGTTGGGAAACACAAAGTAAATATGGCAAAAATTAATTGATATTAATTCTGTCATATTAGGGGGTAATTGTTGACACACTAAAAGTACAGCTCAAATCTAATAGCCCAAGGAATGAAGCACAATTGGGGAATTCTCAAATCAAATAGCCTAAAGAATGAAGCCCAACTGGGCAATTCAGGATAAAGGCCCAGATATGGTTATTAATGAATGCAGTGGAAGCACACGAACACGGTAACATCATCGTCCAAGCTTGCAAGACACCCAAGATCTGAGCGAATGAAGTGCCTTACAGTCGCCCAAAGCTATGACCATATTCTCGCCCAAACCTTCGAATCGCCCAGGATCTTAGCAAACATAAGATGTTATGGTTATCCAAAAGTGCAGTTATTGAAGATATTATTGAGTAACCTTATCACGTTCCACGATTCAAGGAGTTCAGTAGAAGACGGTTGAACGACAAATAGTAGTGGTAGCAGTTAGAGACGACAATTTCACGACAAGTTAGCCACCATAAAGAAAGTGGCTAGTTATAAAGCAATCAAGCAATTTCTAAGCAGTTGATCACGAAGAAATCATCAATGGAATATAAAAGGAAGAGAAGACATAGAGCAAAGGACCCCGAATCAAACACTCTCAAACAGAAAATATGTAATTTCAATTTTCTTAGTTTAAACTTAAACATTTCTTTCAGTGCTTGTGTGCTTACGCCAATTTAGATTAGAAGGATTTTAATTAAATTGTAGATTTATACGACAATTTAATTTCATCTAAGATCTCAAAACAACAAATTTTGTAACAATCGATTTGAAAAAAAATAAAATTGACAAAACGGGATTGGATTTCCACTCATAAGGAAGGAAGGTTAGATTTTTAACAGGGTTGTATTTTTGGTTAGAATGAGTAGCTGTTTGATAAGAAATTAAAATATAATTTAAATGATTACTAGATGCTAATTTTACAAAATGTGTTATGAATCCTATCTCTTTCCTCACACGCCCAGCACCCTACTGAACTAATGATGCAGACAATTTGGGCCTTCGATTTCTTTAATCAGACTTAGGTCCCGTTTGATTCTCATTATTCTCAAAATATATTTTCTTCTCTCTTTTTTTTAATCACACATGCTTCATTAAAATAATATTACATACAAATGAAAAACTTTTCAATCGTACATTCTCCATCAATTTACTATTCTAAAATTCATTTTTCCTTGTCAAGAGTGTCAAACACCTCTTACAAAAGATGGCAATTCTTACTGCACGACGTAGACAATTTTTACTCGCATACGATTGTAGAATTCTTGGATTTAAGGCCAAAAGGTCAATTTTGTCATTTCATTTATAATCATGGCACCAAAAGTCAATTCAGTACAAAATCCTGTGATTAGCAAACCAACCCGCCTTTTTAATTCCTCACCTACCATTAAACGGCCAGTCGTTTATTCCATCCACACTAATCCTAGCCGTCTAGTTTTGGTTTCAATATTTACGGCCCGATCATTTCAATCCAACGTCTCTCATTTTAGTTACTAGAACCTTCTCTCACTTCAGTCTTCATTTCCTATATATTTATTACCACAAACGCGTTTTCATCTTCAGTTTTACTTGTGCTCACCACACTCTCTTTCTTCCTAGGTTTATACATTTTCTCAAGGTCAGTTTGCTTTTTAAGATCATCATTTATCAATCCTTTTTTAAGTGTTGATGATGATGTTTGCTATCTTTGACTTTTTGTAAAAGTGCTCGCAATCATGTGTTTTTTCGTTTATGATTTTTATTTTCTGTTTCGTTACGTGAATGAATCTGAGTGTAGTAAAGCTGAAAATGGTGAAGAACTACCCGACCGTGAGCGAGGAGTACCTGAAGGCCGTTGAGAAATGCAAGAAGAAGCTCAGAGGCCTCATCGCCGAGAAGAACTGTGCTCCTATCATGCTCCGTCTTGCGTAAGTGCACAACTCTTTTCTAGATTTAATTTATTTTTTGGGGATATAAAGAATTTTAGAATTTAGATCCCGTTGACTGGTGTTTTATGAACGCGTTCAGTTTACAGAACGATATTTCGAAGGCTTTAAGGAAATCTATTGCTATTTTAGCAGATCGGATTAACTTGGTGAATCGATTAAGAATAGATTATGAAAATTTGTAGGTTTGACCAAAAAAGTCAACTTCTGAAGGTTGTAGGTTGAGTTTGACCAGAAAAGTTAGAACGTGACATTTGATCTGAATGGAGTATGAAATGATAATTAGCCCAAAAGGTCTTTACCTTTCAATTTTATTGTTCAAAACTTCCGTACCTTTTAGTATTTTTGGCATTTTCACACCTTTCATTTTGAAAGTCATCCTTTTCATCCAATTTCACGTGTAAAGTGATAAATATACACTCCTATTTATATAAAACAAAGAAAGTAAAGTAAAATTAAATAACAGAAGCGTTTTATGCAAATTATCCGAGTATGAAATAATGGAGTTACTAAATACATGATGACTTTGTGTGACACTTTTGTGTCCACCTATAGGCTTGCTGGAACTGGATGATGAGCACAAATGTAGATGTTTTTCCTTCATTGGATATATTAAAGATGTAAAATGATAAAGTGAAGGCTTCATGATCCTCAGCTTGTGGTGTTAATCAACAGTAATTTCTTAGAGATCATATGCTATTTGATCGATGCCATTGTGCCCATGATCTTCACTGATTGTTTAGATTTGCACAGCCACGAGCTCACCTAGCATTTGATAGGATAGATTTAAAATGCCACCAGATTGACTCTGGTTGCCAATCCAGCTAGTTCATAGCTGTGCTTTTTTTTTTTTTTCTCGTGTGTGTGAGATTTATTACTTGCACAAATGTATTTTATATTGCATGTATGTGCAGTATAATGAATTATATTGCTTTTGAGTTGATTATGTTGATATGTGTGGAGCTTGATGATGTCGGAAATTTGTCTTGTTTGTGATTGTAGATGGCACTCTGCTGGTACATTTGATGTATGCAGCAGAACTGGAGGTCCTTTTGGGACAATGAGGTTCCCTGCTGAGCTGGCTCATGGAGCCAACAATGGCCTTGACATTGCTCTTAGGCTCTTGCAGCCCATCAGGGAGCAATTCCCTATCCTTTCTTATGCTGACTTCTATCAGGTAGTTATTGATTCAGAATATTTATATTATTGAACTCACTTCGGTTGTTTTAATAAATATCATTATTTAGAGAAATTGAATTATTATATTTATATTATGGAATTCACTTTGGTTGTTTTATTAAATATCATTGTTTAGAGAAATTGAATTATTTTTATCCTCATCTTGCACATAGTTGGCTGGTGTTGTTGCTGTTGAAGTTACCGGAGGACCCGAAGTTTTATTCCATCCTGGGAGGCCGGTTAGTGATTTTCTTCAACTCCAAGTGATGTATTTAACAATTTTTATGTTTATAACCTGCATATATGAAATGAATGTGACATTTTTCTTAGTTATGATGTGGTCAACTAATTATTAAGAAGCTGTGTTATAAGCATTAACATAAAGGCTTACCACACTATAAATTCATGAATAACATTTTTATTTAGAAGTTTGCTTAAATCTTCTTCACATATTGTAGTCTTTTCCAAGTCAATTGTATTACTTGGAACCATGATTTCTCAATTGTTTATAATGATAAAAAGTCAGAACAGCTAGTTTCTCCATCTTTCATACTTTTTACAAATAATACTAAAATTATTATGGATTATTTTATTTATAGTAAAATTCTGTAGCCTTTAGGTAGAGTTCTTCTGTGAGGCCAATTAATCTTTTATGAACTTTTGTTATGACTTGAAAGACGTATCCCATTTTTTAAATAAGCCTTTTGAAGTAACGTGCCATTTATCAAATCTCAGGACAAGGCAGAGCCTCCTGTTGAAGGTCGTTTGCCTGATGCTACCAAGGGTGAGATGAATTACTGTTTTTTTGTCGAAGTATTGTTTGTGAATAGGAACCTGAGATAATCTCGACTTAATAACTTTGTTTCATCGTAAGTTTTTAATAGGGAAGTGTCTGTCTTAAATTATGAATTCAGGGTCTGATCACTTGAGGGATGTTTTCATCAAGCAAATGGGTTTGAGTGACCAGGATATTGTTGCACTCTCTGGTGGCCACACCCTGGTCTGTATTTGCTCACCAGGATACCAAATGAAAAATCTTTTACTTGCCAGTAATTTGTTAATAGCAGTTTTAACAATAATTTGGTCTTTCTCACAGGGACGTTGCCACAAGGAACGATCTGGATTTGAGGGACCCTGGACCACAAATCCCCTCATATTTGATAATTCTTATTTCAAGTAAGACTTATTTGTATTTGTTGCCACTTGCAGTTTTTGAACTTTTTCTTTTGATTACTAATAATTGGTCTGTTTTTGTCTTTCAATAGGGAGCTTCTGAGTGGAGACAAAGAAGGCCTCCTACAGTTGCCATCTGACAAGGCTCTACTCTCTGATCCTGCCTTCCGCCCACTTGTTGAGAAATATGCTGCCGATGAGGATGCATTCTTTGCTGATTACGCAGTGGCTCACCTGAAGCTTTCTGAATTGGGATTTGCTGATGCCTAAGCTGTTGGGAATTGATAACAAAGTAAGAGTGATGGCCTATTTTGTCTAGTATTATTATGTTCTAATGCGGGGAAAGCTCGACGAAACTTTTAAAACCTTTTTGCTCGCTTTGATGGATGTTTTGGATTTTGAAATTGGTGCTTTCGATCAATATAGGGTAATTACTTCCCTCAAAAATAAAATAGTGCAGAATTATTCTTCGGCTCTGCTTGTTCGCTTATATTGATATTGGATTCGATTTTGATTTGGTGGGTCACGGATGGTCTTTGCCCAATATTTTGGGCCGCGGGCCCAAGCTCAAAAGTAATAGTCAATTTACTTTCAAGGCAGTTTTTTCACTCAGCTTTACCCTTTCGTTAAAAAAAATAGTAAAAATTAATTTTGTTTCCTCGTTCACCAGAAATGAGAAATGATGGGAAGTTATTATTGAGTATAACAGGTATCGAGGCAATCTTTATTATGAATCATACAAATTTGAGTTAATTAAATCATTCATTATTCATCCTTCACTTATTTTATTTTCATCCGTTCAATTAGGCAAAAATATCTGCGTAGCCGATGAAAATTCTACATAGCCACTAACTCTGTTAAAAAATGGACACGTTGAAAAATCTTATAAAATGCAAATAGGGAGAAAAAATGTGGTCAATATCACGAAGGATAAAGAGATATTGAAAAAGTAACTTATTTTCCAGTAAGTGGAAACCCAACAAAGCCCTCCAAAACAGCACATTAATCTGCACCTTCAACTGGCCCTAGCAACTATGAAGATGAAAACATTGGAATTCCCGCAGCGCATTGTGAAGAAAACAATTTTGTATAATCTTATATTGAAAAAGTAGCTTATTTTTCAATAAGTAGAAACCCAAAAAAGGCCTCTAAAACAGCACATGCTGATCTGCACCTTGAAATGGCCCTGACAACATTGAAGATGAAAACATTGGAATTCCCTCATAAAAAATTGTGATGAAAACAATTTTGTGTCATCATCATTGCTATGAACATTTTCCGATGTTGGAGGGAATCGTGTCAAAAAAGGCGTTACCAGAAAAAGGCAAGTTCTTTCAAGCAGTAATGGAAGCTGAACCCCTTCTACAAACTCTACTCTGGCTGGACCCCTATCGCAATCACAGTACCCACCCCTACAATGTAATTCCGTTGACATTACGTCAGTCAACATTTCTTCTCCAAGAATAGTCCTGGATTATTTAGTAACAAGAGAGTTCTGATGAACTGGGAATTAGGACTTGTGTCAATTTGGGATTCCATTGATGAGAAAATAATTTGGGGGAAGAAATGGATTCTAGTATGACTGAAGAATGGGGGCAGTTTAATGTTGGAGGAAGATGAGTAGAAATAAAATTACGACTTTTAACTTTTTGAAGAGAAATCACTTCTGAATGTGCTGTGATTTTTCACCTGTCAAATTTTAATAGCGTTAGTGGTCACGTAGGATTTTTATCCCCCGTATATCCATTTTTGTCTACTAGATGGATGGAATTGAAATAGGTGATGAATGAATAATTTATTTATTTATTTTGTTGACACACTAAAGTACAGCCCAAATCGAATAGCCCAAAGAATGAAATCCAATTGAGGAATTCCCAAATCAAATAGCCCAAAGAATGAAGTCCAATTGAGCAATTCAGGATAAAGGCCCAAATAGGATTATTAATGAATGCAGTGGAAGCTCACGAACATAGTAACATCATCGCCCAATCTTGCAAGACACCCAAGATTTGAGCAAATGGAGTGTCTTACAGTCCCCCAGAGCGATGACCCTGTTCTCGCCCATACCTTCTAATCGCCCAAGATCTTAGCAAATATAAAATGTTATGGTTATCCAAAAATGCAGTTATTGAAACAATTATTGAGTAATTTTATCACATTCCACGATTCAAGGAACCCAGTTGAAGGCGGTTGAACGACAAAGAGTAGTGGCAGCAGTTAGAGACGGCAGTTCCACGACAAGTTAGCCACCATAAAGAAAGTAGGTAGTTATAAAGCAATCAAACAGTTTTCAAGCGGTTTGTCACGAAAAAATCATCAAGGGAATATAAAAGGAAGAGAAGACATAGAGAGAAAGACCCTAAATCAAACACTCTCAAACAGAGAATATGTAATTTCGATTTTTTAGTTTAAATTTAAATATTTCTTTTAGTACTCGTGTGCTTGCGCCCTTTGGAGGTATTCTGTTTAAATTCCAATTGTAAATCATCGTCAATAAAACACCCCTTTTTGGGACTTTGTCTCAAGAGGTCTGTTCCTTACACAATCGTCTGATCCCCTTTTTTAATTGTTAGCGACTACCCGCGCGAAACAATTTGGCACGCCCGGTGGGATATTAGTGTTTGGTGTTGAAGATACAAAAGTTGAAACAATATTCCTCACAAATCTGATAAAGAAGCAGCAAGTCAGGGAGTAGTTCAGTCTCTGATCAAGCGATATGAGGAGCAGCATAGCTCTCCACGAACAGAGGGATAGAGTCAGAGCAGTCACAGTCGTTACGAACCAATGACAGAGTTGAGTCCTCGAACCATGTGTGCATTATTTGGAGAACTCACACAGGATGTCTTTGAATAGGTAAATCTACGAAATATTTATAATATGTAAAGATTTACTCAGAATGGGAATGCACATTATGACAACATGGTCAAATAACTGAATACTTTGAATGAAATAATGAATAAGTTAATAGGCCAAATTTGTCAGCCAGTTGTACCTCTTGCAAATCACTTTCAAGTTAGGACAATTGTGGGACATAATCCCCCAGTCCTAAGTCCAAATCAAGGGATAGAACCACCTTTTGGTCCCTCTACTTCAAATCAGGGGATGGTGTAATGCCAAATCAGAATAGTGATAATGGTACAGCTAATTTGGGAGGTAACCTAAATGTAAGAGACAATGTCCTAAATAATGGACAGAATGTCTCACGTGTTAATGATGGAATAAATATTCAGGCTAATGGTAACAATGGCCCAAATCAAGGCAACTTTATTGCCAACCAAGGACCAAACATCAGGCTTTAAGCAAATCAACCGTTCAACGAACCTATAGGAATTCCATATGACCCCAACGTCATGTCGAGGAATCAAATTATGGAAATAGTACAGGATCAAATGACTTTTGGAGTACGTCCTGTCATTAGGCCGACTTACACAAAATCATATCCTGATTGGGTAGACCAAGCATATCCATGGCTTAGAGGGTATAAAGTGTCAGAATTCTCATTATTTACCAGTTTAGGAGAGGTGTCTACACTAGAACACATAGGGCGATTCACACTGTAAAGTGGTGAAGTAACAGACTATCATAAAATGAGGCTGTTCCCTAGTTCATTAACAGGAGTAGCTTTCTCCCGGTTCATCAATTTGCCAGCGAACTCTGTTCAAACATGGCAACAATTGGAGCAATTGTTCCATGCTCAGTTTTATAAGACTAAGTCTGAAGTTATTTTGGCTGATTTGGCGAGTCTGCGTCTGTTTCGCACGGGTTAGTCGCTAACAATTAAAAAGGGTCAGACGATTGTGTAAGGGATAAACCTCTTGAGACAAAGTCCCAAAAAGGGGTGTTCTTTTATTGGCGATGACTTTACAATTGGAAATGAAAAACAACGTGCCTCTAAGGGGCGCAAGCACACGAGTTACTGAAAGAAAAATGTTTAAGTCTAAAAACTAAGGAAATGAAAATTACATATTCTCTGTTCGAGAGTTTTGGATTCGGTCCCTTTTTTCTATGTCCTTTCTCCCTTTTATACTTCATAGACGATCTCTTTGTGATTAACTACTCTAAAAACTGCTTGATCGTCCTATAACTACCCACTTTCTTCGTAGTGGCCATTTTGTCATGAAAACTGCCTTTTAACTGCTGCCATTACCTTTCATCGTTCAACCGCTTTCGATTGAATTCCTTGAATCGTGGAACGTGATAGGGCTGCTTTAACAACTGCTTTGATAACTGCATTTCTTGATAACCACGACGCGTTATATTTGTTGATACCTTGGGCGACTTGAAGGTTTGGGCGAGAATAGAGTAACAGCTCTGGCGACCGTATGACACTCTATTTCGTTCAGATTCTGGGCGACTTGCAAACTTGGGCGATGAAGTTACCGCATTCTTGGGCCTCCTTATTTGGGCCTTCGTCTTGATTTGTTCGATTGGGCTTCGTTCTTTGGGCTGTCTGATTTGGGGGTCCTCCAATTGGGCTTCACTCCTTGGGCTCCTCGATTTGGGCTGAATTTTTATGTGTCAACAATTACCCCCCAATATGACAGAATTAATAATAATTATTGAATTTTGCCATATTCACTTTGTGCTTCTAGCAACGTTCGAAATTCCTAAGAATTTCAATCATTGTTTCCTTCTATAACTTGAAAAGGTGCGTCGTTTTGCAAACCCTTATAAACCCCAAACACGGCATTTCATTACTACCAAACCACGCCTCATATTTTTTGCGTCTCTTTCACGGTTCACTGTTCATCTTTTGCTTCTTTGCTACGTAACCCTGAAAAGCTTCGTTCCTTCTCCAATGGCTGCTTCACAATCTTAAGCTAGCGATTCCTTTAATTTTGATGACTTCCAGAGACTTCTGAGTCGCCCATACATAACCCCAAGTTTTCTCGCACCCCCCGACGTTGGACGTAATTAGTTCTACTTGGGTCCTTTCTTCAATAATGCAGAGGCAGTTGAACAGGCGGCGGTGGTGAGCTGTTTCCCTGCACTCAGGGTCCTCCATTCCTGAACTCTCTACCGTTGGGGTCACTTCGCGAAAGAGGTATTCGCACTTGGCCTAAATCTGATGTAGCTTTTCGTAGGTGGCATGCTCGTCTTGTGGGTCATGGTCCTACTAAGGCACTTTTTGATAGCGCTAGGATTTCTGACTTGTTATAAGTCTCTATTCGCCCTCCTACTTTTGATTCAGCGCTCTTTTCGATTGCTTTGAGTTTTTGGTCCCCTGAGTATAACACCTTTATTTTCCCTCTTGGTCCCATGTCTATTACGTTAAGGGATGTTGGGGCCCTGGTGAATCTACCACCTTTGGGCGATACCATTTTCCCAGGTATCTTAGTTTCTGGTGGCGCCCCAAAGTTTGGTAAAAACTATACCGACTCTTATTCAAGCCTGCAGACCCTCCACAATCATTCGAGTGCTGAGCCTACCCATACTGAGCGAGTGGCCTTCCTTTTAGTTTGGCTTTGTAAATATATTTTGTGCGTGCCAAGTATAAAGCCCTCTCTAAGTTATTTACCTATTGCG